TTATACAACAGGATGCTTAACTACGTTAGGTAAGTCAGAAAAGTCTACTAAAACTGATTTTAGAAAGATGAAGATACGATGTTTTGCTAAAAAGTTATAATATTTACAAAGCTGATGCTCTTGTATCACTGTTCTTAATGCATTGTTATTGTAATGTTAGTCACTGCTGTGACTGACTACAACCGACTACTAGATTATGCTGTGTAGTTCAACCAGCATAATCTACAGAAATCTATAGAAAACGGTCTCTAAGGACACCAAGTCATTAAGAAAAAGGAAAAACCCACGTTTACGTAGACACAAACAAAATCAGAACCATCATTTTGGTGGGAGATAGAGATTTTAACAAGGGGGTCAGGTATTTATGTTCATAGATCATATTCTCTTGTGCAAATGGTTTCTGTGACTCAGGATGAAAGAATATTGACATGGTCTAGTTGCTGTTACAGGATACCTATTGAGAAGATGTAGGTTTCCAAATATGACATCTTTCACACAGCTTATTCCATATGAATATGTACATTAATGTACATTTGCTACAGAGATGGAAAAAGTGCCATCAACCCCAAGCTCCTCCAGAGGTTATAGCATGCCAAAAGTTTTAAAGAGATTACTATTATCACTACAAGAAAGTGCTAACAGGTAAAGCCTCTTCTATGAATGTTCCTGAAGAAGTTGCGCATGTAGTTTTTCTTCTTACAGAAGAACTGGACTACACAGCACAAAACATTTACCGTTTTATTCACCAGGATTGAAGAATACTCAACCAAAATTTTACATAATTTATGATGGGGGAACGCACGGTAAGCATTACTTTATAGCTGCCTAAATGATCCCGAATTGCTCTAGCAGAAAAAGAGGTGGCATTCATTGTAGAATGGGACAACTGAGAGGTAAAAATCTCATCTTCCATGATGTAAGTTTACCTTACCTTCCATGTTACATTTGTTTCTTAGCAAAATGAAATGCACAGTTGAATCAAATTCCAGCATTGTGTACTAGTATATTTCTTCTTTTCAAATAAAGGCCTCCTGTTGTTTATGAGCAATCCTATTTCTAGAATTTAAGTTCCACTGACTTCAGCAACATTAAGAGCACACAAACTCTGTGCTGAAAAAAAGATAGCCTTACTCACATGTGCAAAACCTAACATAACTTAAGTGCTTTGGTGGATGAGGCCCTGGTCACTGTGCTTGATCTATATCATCAGGAAACCTCAGAAAGTACAAGGGTACCTGGCAAAAATGCAGAGGCTGGTCAAGGTAGCGCAGTGTGTGACCTCTGTGCAAAAGAGGGAAAGACGTCACTAAAATTCTAATTTAGTGTAGATGAATTTTCACAATTTTTACTAAAGGAAGTGTTGTCTGCAATGATGAAATCCAGTTGATGCTACAAGAAAACATATCGAGATAATTTTTGAGGCTCTTGCACTTACCGAGCCCATGGATCCCTAAGACCACGTTTAGCCAGCCTTTTCTGGACATCCTCTAGTGGAGTACCCTCCACCTTCCACTGCCTGTAGTCGGGGAGTTCTGTTTGGCCATGGCCGTGGCCATGGCCATGTTCACTTCCATGTGCCATACCTAAAAAAAAAAAAAAAAAAAAAAAAAAAAAAAAAAAGATTATGAGTATGTTTAGTTCTCAGGGAGTCCAGCTTATTTTCCACACACAAGGACCAATATCCTGTACAGGAAGAGTGGGGAGGTTACAAGAAATCCTACAAAACACCAGTTTCTGCGTTGTGAACAGTGCACCTTTGTTCAAAAAGTTAAGAAACCACGTAGCATTTCAGAAGCTGGTGATAAAGAACAGCAAACTGTGCCAGATTGTATTATTTCCCATATAGTAACAGTTGACTATTCTGTCTGAAAACCTGCATGGTTGGTTTATTTATTATCAGCAATAGCCACATGTCTACAGGCAAGAGTCCTCATATAAAACCATTTCCAAAGAATTAACAGCAACATTACGTAATTTGTGTTTTTTTTTTTTCTCCTAATAAAAAGACCATCAATAGACCTTAAAATACATAGCATAGCATAACATAAACATTGCCTAGGAACATGAAGAAAATCAAACAACCTAGGAGGCTAAGATAATAGTTCATCCAAGTTTGATATCAGAGTGCCTATATACACGTCACATATAAATATTTCAGAATCATAGTTTATAGTTTAAATACTCCACATTGGACTTTTTTTTTTTTAATATGCCATTTAAGAAACTGCATTACAAGTTGAGACTTGTAATGACTAGCTTAGTTGAGACTATTTTACTGGCTGAGTTGACACATAGTCTCAAGCCAGTACAGTATCTCTCAAGTTGAGGCTTATAATGACTGTAATGAATGGCTTAGTTAAGCCAATAAAATATCCTTATTTGTATATTTAGAATTTAGAAGTGTGATGTGGATTGAGCAGTATCAAACTAACTCCATAACTAGAAAATCCTAGATAGAATATAAAACCAAGTAATTTTAAGTTAGTGACCTATGTGCACACTTACAGAATACTGTTATACTATGGCTTATCCCAGCTCCTTTAAATAACTGGAATCCAAAGACATCACAAAACTTGAATTACTCAAACAACGTAATTGAATGTACGTGCACTAACTTGTCTGTTTAACTTCAAATTTAAAAAAATGCAGTAGAAGATTCAGATGTAAATATAAAAGAATAGGGCATTACAGTAGACATTAAAATCACAGAATCCTTATCCAATGGTAGCTTGTTACAAGCACTTATGCATATATATCAAATATTAAAACCATGCAGAACTACTAGCTTTAAATCCAGCCATAGCAGCATATTAAGCATGTAGAAGATGTTCACATTACAACAGAAATCAGATTTTTAATCCTCTGCGCTCCACCATCTGTTTAGTAATAAGTTTGGTCAAACCTACTTGAAAAGAAAATATAAAAGTAGACTTTTCCAATTAAAAGCAATATTTGTTTTAATAAAGTGGTGCAGATATTATGCACATTAGTTGAAAATGGCAAGTTAAAAACGGCAAGTTTTCCATTTTATAAAGCGTAGAACTGTTTAAACTTATTTCGATCTTAGCATAAAAGCAGTAGGCAAGACCAATGTGAGGTATGTAGTTAAGCTACACAGGAACTGTTAACTTTCCATTCGCGTCCTTATTATCCACTGCTGAAAGAAACAATAAAACAATGACTTAAATCTAGATGGCTGAGCTGGCTATCCAAACAAAGAATTAAGAACTCTACATAAGGCTGGGCAGCATTGTTACTGCAGCAGCATGTATTTTGTAGCTCAGGGCAATCCTTCAATTTTCATTACTGACAGTGAAACTAGCATTTCTCAGGTGCTAATACTAAACTAATAATTAACTGGTGGCATCAGCTGAAACTTTACAATAAGAATTTAATGTTGTTGACTCAAAATTTGAACACCCAGATCTAGCAGAAAAAAAGATGGATAATCAATTAAAGCACCCCATGATGAAACTATCTTGTTTCCTAGTACAAAGCATATGGACTGGAAGCTGTTAAAAGTCACACTTATTAAAGCATTGTCAACATTCACACTGTACAAATACTGATTTTGTTTAAACATGGCTCTTTTTTTTTTTTTTTAAATTCGTATTTTGAAGATCCATCTTCTTTAAAAGTAGGCAAGAATTGACTGGTTTTGACATTTGCTTAAACAGCTTTCATTTCTTGCAGTCACTATGAATATTTCAGAATTTTAAGTCCTAAAATGTCAGGATACAAAAGGCATAGTCTTTAAAACTGTGCTACAGATGCAGATACAACTACGTTTAGAATTTAGTGTGTTCAAAGATTATGAATTTTTAGGGTTGGTAATAGATATTAACTCGGACAAGCTTACATTCTGTCTATGTACCTTACTATAGCCACTACTTATTCTTCAGAATCTAGAAAGAGTACAGTGTTATTCATCTTTACGGAATATACACCATCTAATCTAGAAATTTTAGATGCACAGCTCCAAGTACATGATAGACTTCACATTTTTTCCTGTGAGTTTTAAAGAAACAAATGTGCAAATTTGTTAAACTAGGAAAAGCAACAGCTTGTTTTAATCAAATTACATTAACGCTCTTATACTGAAAGTGCTTTGAAGCCCTGATTTAAGGGACAGATTAAGAGATTTCCAAGGTGTAAGCAATTCGTTTGATTATCTAAGCAGCCATATTGAAGGCTAGAGTGATGCTGCCTTGTAAGTTGTTATCACCATTACATTCATCAAGCAGCTATATGTTTTCTTATATTAAGTAGTATCAGGAAAAAGCAAGAAAATACCAGTCCTCATTAGAAGACTGATAAAGGCAGATGGGAACGCGAACATTTTCAGTGAAACCACGAATGGCTAGAAGAAAATAACGTGAATTTCCCATCTTAACGCGTATCTAGTAGCGAAGAGCTAACGCAGTGCTCCTCATTTTCAGGAAAATTAAAAACCCAGCTCCAAAGCCTGTGAAGAACCTGAAGAATCCTGGCTGCGGGGGCAAGAACGAGGGAGTAGAAAACCTTACCGAGAGCTGTCCCACAGCCTATCGCTACCTACCCCTTACCCCTGACACAAAGCGACACAACGCAAACAAAAGCCCTCCTACAAAGATTTGCCCCCGCTGGCGGCCGCCCCCTACCTGCCCGCTCCGTGCCCCGCCGCCAGGACACCGCAGGCCGGAAGCGGAAGGCAGCGGCTGCTGCCGGCACTGCAGAAGCCGGGGCCGGCTGCAAGGATTCCGCGCGCGCCTCGTTCCGCACCAGCTCCGTTCCTGCCGGCCGAGAGGAGGGGGAAGCACGCGGCCAATCAGCGCGGGGCTTGTTGGGCGCGGAAGCAGCCCAATGGGCGGGCGCGTTGTTGAGTTGCGGGGTCGGCAGCGGCTGGAGGAGAGGTGAGGGGGCGGCGGGGCCGCTCCGCTCCGCTCGGCTCGGGGCCGGGGCGGTTGGGCGGTGGCGGGCGGGGCCTCGACTGGGCCGGGACGGGACCGAGCGCCCCCTTCCCATTCCTCTTCCTTTTCCCTTCCCTCTTCCTTCCTTTTCCCTTTCCGTCCTGCGTTGCCTGTCGGCTGGTGCCGGCGTCCCCGGCAGGGGCTGTGAGTGCTGCGGCGCCAACCGTACCCTGCCGCCGCCGCCTTCTGAGGGGAGCGGGGCCGCCCGTGCGGCCTCCCGCAGGGCATCGCGCTTATGTAAGCACTGGGCCCGCGCGCCCCCCTGCCTGGCCGCTGCTCGTCGCGGGCAGGAGCTGGGGATGCTCGTGAGCCCGGCCGGTGCCCGCCGCTGGATGCGTCCTAAAAGGGCATCGCTGTTTGTTTCCTTAGGAGAAGCGTGGAGGCTGCCTGAAATTCTGGAACTGTGCTGAAAGGTAACTGGAAGTTAAGGGTTTTCTTCAGACCTGCGTTTCTACTGAGGTTACTGCTTTGTTACATTCAGGATCTGTTCCTGGACAGCTCGGAGTTTGGCGTGCTGTGGCTGTATAATTATGAAGCGTTGATTGCGTGACTATATGAATAGCATTTTTTTATATATATATTTTTTAATGTATGCTTAGAGGTTGAGTACGTTGTGTTCTTTATCTGGAAAGAAACTGATAAAGGTAACCACTCAGTCACTGACTTACAAAAGCTTACACCATTTCTCTATTCTAGATACCACTATAATATCATTTCTTTATAGCATAACAGAAACTTAAGGAGACTGATTATTGACGCGCTTATAAGAACGAGAATAAACACTATTTTATAGCGTGGTATTGACAGAATTTTAGGACAGACCGCAGGTTTGATTTTTGTTTTTAGTATCTGATGAAAAGATATTTCTGGGTTTCATTTTTTTTTTACAGGGATATTGGGAGAGCATGAGAAGGGTTCCAGTAAAAATGCCGTTATCATGTTATTAACAGTGAAACTATTCTAAATAGTGTGCCATCTGTTTAATCTGGACTGCCTGTGTCTGGTTTCAGCACTGAATGTTTTTCCCTGGGAGGTAAAGTCTGCAAGATATGTCAGAGTGAGAGGAGATGTGTTAGTTTTTCTCTAACGTGTTGGAAAATGGAACTGGGGAAGGATTCTGTATTTGTTGGGTACCAGGGAGTTAAATCTCTATCACATGGACAATGATCTCTCTGATACCTGTGAAGTATTTCTCCATTCTTGTAGTGGCAGAAAGCTACCAGCTATGTGCTCAGCATCTAGTGTTGCTGTGGAATGTTGATATTTTCCTTAGAAATATTTTTTAGTGATCTCTACGCATGTTAGTTACCAAACAAAATAATTTTCCTTTTGATGGAAAAATGTAAGGTCGTGGTCTTGTATTTTATTTTGTTTGCTTGTTTTGTTTTTCATAGTGTATCTAAGTATGACTTGATGATTTATCCATGAAGCCATACTTTACTGGTATAGCTATCAGCTGCTATGTTCAGTACTGATCACAGCGGATTGACTTTGTGTGACCCATTGTATTCAGAGTTATAGTGGAGTAGTACACTCTGCAAGATTCACCTTCAAAAACACTGTAAATTTCAGGTTTGAACAAGGTTTTGGTATCTATTTCCTCCCACCCAAGTACATAAAACCTCTTGATAGGACTAACTTTGTGCAGTTTATTGATTTGCTCTAAAATGAGATTGCTTAATGTCTTGCTTCCTAAATTTCCTTTTCTTTCAGTATGTGTTGTACTCTATCTTTCCAAAATAGAAGACCGCAGATATGAGGAATGTGATGCTTTAGGGATATAGGAAGCTTTCTGAAACTGTATCTTCATGAAATAAGTGAGTTTGGATAATTTTAAGGGACCTCAATGTCTTATTACAGCCTGTTGAGTAAACTTCAGTATAGTTACTCACTTGTTAAGGCCGGAACTATAGTGTAGACAAGGAGCTAACATGAAGAGGGGAAATTTTTATCTTGTGTAGAACATACTGGATATTCTTTAGGAAGAGATGGTCATTGGGATTCTGTGTACAAATAATCAGTACTTTTTATGGTTTACTCAGTTGCTTTTTTTTTTTTCCTCTTTGCTGCTATTCATGGTGGTGATAATTTCTGAAAATTAAGTGTTCCAGGACACAGTTACATTAGTGTCTATCCAGCTACTCTAGTTGTGATTAGCTGGTGTTCCTGCTTATGCTAGTAGGTTAAGGGAAGGTGGCAAGGTGTTCTTGATAGCTTTCAGAAACCTATGTTTACATAAATTTTTGTTGATATATGTTCTAGATTAACAGATTCATTGTTGGTACTGTTCTTCTCTGCCTGTGCACACTTTCTCCTTATCAGTGATCTGTACTGAGTGGTATGCTCTTTCAGATTACTTACTGCAGTATAGAGCTGCATGACAGACAGTGACTTGAATTTTTTTTCAATTTTGACATGACAAGAGGTGTGTTTCTTTTTTTTTTTTTTTCCACTTAATGTCTTAATACATACTTGAATTGCTTAAAACTAAATAACTATGTATTTTTCTCCTGAAATTGCATGTTACTTTCTCAGGCTCTTTGTTGGTTATTTATACTTCATTGGAAGCCTGTTGTTATTCAAATAAAATTGTTATTCCTGCTTTAATTGCTGTAATGATGAAGAAGGTTTTTCCACCTTTTTGTCCACCTTTTTTGTCCACCTTGGTTTCTTTAGATATTTAAAAAAAAAAAAAAAAAAAGGCTATGAAAGGCCGGAAAGTAAGTTACCTTCTCAGGCTGCAGTAGAGCTATTTCATAGATTGTACTATAATGTTCACTCCTCTTTAGGAGGAATGATATGCTCATGCAACACTGTTAGTTTCCTTCTGTATTTTGGCAATCCAGAGATCATTCTTCACAGGAACAACTGTACTGGATTAATCTGCTATCCTATCTTGAAGTCTAAAGCTCTTGGATCCTGGTATGTGACGAGACCATTGTTTCAATCCTGCTTGTTCCCCAGGGCTAAACAGTAGTTGACAGCAGATGCTCTATTCTTATTCTCTTTTCTAGGCAAGTGTATCAGGTTACTCCTTAGGTCAGCTCTCCCAGTCTCTGAAAGGAGATGCTTTGTGTAGCTTTTACTTCCATTAACGTACTTAATTTTTTAAAACTCTTGAGTCCATGTATGGTTTTTGAATCAACAAACATCACTATATATCTTGTGTTGTGTGAATAACTCATTCCTCTGTTCTGTTTTGAACCTGTTATCTGAGAACTTCATATGACACCCCTGTTTCCTGTAGGAGGAGGGATGGAATTATTTGGCTATTTCCCAGACAGTTTGATACGAGTTTAGAATCTTTAAAATCAAGCTAATATGTTCAGTCAAACACTTGCCTGGGCAGGAAAAGAATTTTAGCTTTCGTTTTTTCATTTTTTGTTTGTTCCTTTGTGTTAAGATATTAGTTTATATCTGGCAGTGAAGCTGAAGGCTTCCTCAGCTGATTCCCAGTGAAGGCCATCTTTGCCATAGGAATTACCATTTAGGAAGAAGTCCTGTGACTCCTGGGGAGAAAGTGATCTAAGAAGACAGAGACAGTCATCAGCTGTGGGTTTTGATTTGCTGCTTCAGTCAGGTATTTTCATTTACAAATGGCACAGTTACAAGAAATAATTTTTATTTAATGCTGTTTTTAGCTGTGCTTCCTTTGCAGCTGTTACCTTGTAGTAGATAAAATTTCATGCAGAATTTTGTTCAAGCAAACATTAACATGCATAATTTGCTCAGAGATTTCATGTAGGCTCTAAAGGTAACTGTAAAATAGTGATGATGACTTTAGGAAATATTTGTAGGTGTTACGCATTATCTGACTAATCTTATTTCTCCTAAACCTTTCTTTTGCTGTCTTTTTGGCAAAAACTGAGATTCTTAAATAATGGAATCACTGGAGGGTTGAGGTTGGAAGGGACCTCTGGAGGTTATATAGTTCAGCCCCTTTGTTCAAAGCAGGGCCTACTATAGGGTAGGTTCCTCAGGACATTGTCCCCTCAGATTTTGAGTATCTCCAAAGGCAGAGACTTCACAGGCTCTTTAGGTAATCTCTTCTGGTGTTTAAACGACCTCACTTTAAAGTTTATTTTCTTATGTTTAAATGGATTTTCTTATATTTCAGTATGTTTGCAGATAGATGCAAATATTTTGAGTGTGAAAGTGTTCTTAGTTTGTGCTTGTATCACTAAATGAAGATAACATAGTTAGTTGGTTGAACTTTTCTCTCTGTGTCTTTTCTTGGATAATTCATTAACAAGACAAATAATTTGAAATTTATATATATATTTTAACTTTAATCACAGAACATACATACGTGAGTGATTCTTTTCCCCACCCCTATAGAATTCTGACCTTAGTCCTTGAACTTAAAGCATGAGGTCATGAGTTAGAGAGGTACTTCTGATGAAATAGAAATGTTGTTATATAGTAAAACCAAATTCTCTATTGCCAGCAGCACCACAGAGAAGAAAATATATAAACATAGATCAGGATCGGGTGCTGGCCAAAATAATACACAGTCTGCAAACTGTTCCAACACATGCTGCAAGTTATCAATAATTAATAGAAGTTTTGTATTGTAAGGAGAATTACAGCGTGACCATTAGTCATTCTTCTGTTAGCATTAAATCTTTTGCCAAATGAAAAACACTACACCCAAATTCTTTATGTATTCAGTTTTCCTTGGAGCCAAAAAACTTAGAAAAGGTATGTTACAGATGTTTATTGTATGGCATTGATGTTCGTATATTGTGTCTTAGGAGTAATAAATTATGTAGTTATGGAACATATTTGTTTAATAAACCATGGAGCTACTTTTAAACTAATTTGCATATTTTTATTTTGTGCTATTGTAGTGTGATCTAGGTATAATGCACCCTTCTGGTATATTAGGCTGAACTCTGTTACAGTGTTTGTTACTCTGCTGCTATGAGATGTCCTTTTCCTCTAAAGTTGTGTGTTTCTCATCTAGATTCAATTTGAAAATGCTTCGGGGAATAAAACTGACTTAGCTATCTACTTAAATAGAAATTTAACCAGGAGTCACAATTCAGGTGATCTGTAAAACAAGGGTTAGTGTCAAGTCACCTTTTTGTTTTTTCTTTGATTTCTGCTCTGCAGGCAGTGTGGCTTGCTCCTGTTGGCCACTGCTTATGTCAGTTCTGCTGCCTTGACCTCTTGGTATTATTCTGTAGAGCAGTATGTATGCTGTGGTTCAAAAGTATTAGTTTACTTTTGACTGGAATATGGAGAACCAGAGATATTTGGAAGATTGCACTGGGTAGTGGACTAAAATGTCTATTGCAAAGTGTTGAACTTTATTTTTCTCCCAGTACGGAATACTGGGAATTGTCAAATTCCCTGGCTACATAATGCTGTTCAGCACAAGACCTGATGGAGGTTGATGGAGCAGTTAAAA